TTCGGTTGTGAATTCTAATACTAATGAGTGCGTTCTAGATAATACAGAGTCTTTATCCAATACACTGTCGGACAAACACAGGATGAACTTAAGAAGAAGTACAATCAATTACAGACACTTAGACTCCAATTTAAGTTGTGGCGGATGTGGTGTTTGAATGAACTAATGATTGCTTTGTACTTGTTGAATGCCTGGTTTCGAATTCTAAATATAGTACATTCGTTCATGCTTATCTAGTAGTTCTTCATCCAATTACGTTATTTCTGGGATTATTAGTTCTTACCATAATTCAAATACTTCTGATTATCATACAGTCGTCTATGCGCTGTTCGGCTAAACGACTCCGTAAATTCTCGGAAGGATAGGGACACACGTAGTTGCTTTTTCGTCGTTTCTGCCTACGTTCCCACTGACTGCAGCCCGGATGAAGTGAAAGATGACCTTTACAGAATGCTTTCTGAAATTTTTCAGAAAGCTGGACGCTCAAACATAGTACTCGTAGCAGGTGAATTTAATGCCCAGGTAGGAAGATTAAACCAAACAGAAAGATATTTATTTGGGTATTTTACTATTTCGGCTCAGCGAACAGATAATGGTGATCGTCTGCTGCAACTGTGTTCAGACAATCGTTTATTTTTAGCAAACACAAATTTTAAGCATAAAGAGAGACATCGTCTAACATGGCGACCCTCTGCACCAAACCAACGATGGACTCAAATGGACCATATTGCCATCAGTCATCGTTGGAGAGGGTCGATAGAAGATTGTCTCTCATTCTGGAGTACCTGCTTGGACTCCGACCATGTCCTAATACTGGACGCAGAAAAGCCATACTAAGAAGACTCATTAGGATTGAACTGAGTGACGAGAAAACCAAAAGTAGGTCCCAGGAACAATTGAGGTCACACTTAGGTAGTTCTGTAAACGAGGCTAACCCAGGTGTTGCTTGGAAAGATATACAATCAGCTGTGAAAACAGCAGTCACATCTGTTAGTAATTTAAACCAATGGGTCACAAAAAACCAATGGATTCCTTCTAAGTCTATTGCAATGATAGATTCTCGTAAACTCATCCCATCAGGCTCTGAACACGATGAGGAGCGGAAACAAATCAGATCTAGGTTAAGCAAAAGTCTAAGGAACGACCGTGAGTAGTGATGTACAACGAAACAAAAAAAATAGAAAAGATGGCGGCTGTAGATAACATAGGATAGTTCTTCAAACTAAGAAAAGAAACTGGAAATAATAAGTTAAGTGTAAGTGAAAGTCTCAGAAAAAGACGACACTTATCTGCTCTCAGCGCAGACGCCTAAAACGATGTGCGGAACAATTAAAAGAGCAGTTCAGTTGGCCTTCAGCTACTCTACAAATACCCACCATTCCCAGACAGTGTGAACAGAACATTGAAGTAGGTCCTCCAATTCTAACTTAAGTTCAAAAGGCTATAGCTAATCTAAAACGAGGAAGGGCAGTTGGTCCAGATGGATTGGCTCCAGAGGTCTTTAAAGATAGTGATCCAATTTTAACGACTAGGTTGACTAATATTTTAGCTAAAATCTGGAACTTGGACGTTATCCCATCTAACTGGTCACAATTACTCATCGTCCCAATATATAAGAAAGGGTCAAAATCATTCTGTGACAACCATAGAGGGATTATTTTGACTAACATAGCATCTAAAATACTAGCTTCAATAATCATCAGGCGCCTATCTAAGACTCGTGAACTGCAAACACTAGAGAATCAAGCTGGCTTCAGACCTAGTCGTGGATGCATAAAACACATGTTCACCATTCGTCAGGTTCTAGAACACAGGCATACTTATCGGCGCCCGAAAATGGTGGTCTTCCTTGACTTAAAAGTAGCATTTGACTCTGTAGAGCGCGAGGTTGTGTGGCAGTGTCTGTCATTGAAAGGCGTACCTCGGAAGCACATAAACCTTATGAAGGCTCATTACTCGAACACCACTAGTCCAGTCAGAGATTATGGCGAACTATCATCTGCTTTTGCAACCTCAAGTGGCGTCCGTCAAGGCTGTCCACTTTCTCCTTTTTTGTTTAACTTTATCGTAGATCTACTGATGGAAATAACGTTCTCGTCGGCTGAATTCTTGGGCATTGATCTCCTACAAGGAGATCCACTTATCGACTTAGAATACGCAGATGATATAGTCAATGTTTGGTGAAGACGCTGATGAAATGCAGAGTCTTTTGGTAGCACTGAGCAACAATGCTAGAATGTTTGGGATGCGCTTTTCTCCCTCTAAATGCAAGTTGTTGTTTCAGGACTGGTCTGCATCAACACCTGAACTAAGGATAGAGAGTGAAGTAGTCGAACGCGTTGACGAAATCTCAGCATGGATTCGAAAAGCTCGTTTGGCCTTTGCCAACTTACGTCATCTATGGCGAAGGCGAGACATCCGTCTATTAATTAAGGAACGGGTATACTGTGCGGCAGTTCGCTCCGTTCTACTATACGGCTGCGAAACATGGCCATTAAGAGTACAAGATACTCGTAAGTTACTAGTATTTGAACACAGATGTCTTAGAAATATTGCTGGGATCATCGGGTAAGTAATAGTGCGGTTAGACGCAGGGTATTAGGGAACGATGATAAGTCAGTTGATGAGGTTATGAACCTTCATCGACTGAGATGGTTCTGCCACGTGTTAAATGTACTAGAACACCGATTACTACGACGCACAATACCGACTAGTGTTGGGGATGGTTGGAAGAAAGTTAGGGGCGGCCAAACCAAAACATAGCATCAGTCCTTGAAGTCACTAACTTCTAATCTAAGCCATGTTGGTAGATGCAGACTGCCTGGTTGGGGTCCGCGCGGCTGTCGTAATGATTAGAGACCCTGGGTTACATGGCTCAGAATCGATTACGATGGCATCGGTGTATACACTCTTTGTCTTCCCCTAAGCTGTGAGATTAAAATTACTTTATACCTTTCTTTCTAATTCTCTCTTCCTGCACTATATCCTTATACATAATCTTCCTTTTACATATTACTACCACTGAAGTAACTACTTCTATGAATTCCGTGTTCATCTTGTTATGGTAATGAGATGTGGCAACTTGGACCGATGTACATAGGTGCCTGGTCCTACGTTGTAGCTGACTGACTGAAACAGAAGTATCAAAGTCAAACAATGAAATAAAATGAATTTGATACCACTGTGGTATTTTAAGCTCTGTTCTCAATTTATTTATTTATTAAAACACAAACATTGGTACAAGGGGACACCCAATACATACACTCCTCACTTCATTCGATTTATGTGAGGGCTATGATACTGCCCGAACGTCCGAACCAAAGCAGGTGGTTTTCTTAGGGAACCACACCAAAAGTCTTTGACCCACAAGTCAGTGAAGTGAGGTTAGGAGATGAACTTCGAATGTATATATGTTCCTTGTCTTACGTTGTAGTTGACTGAGACCCTGGTTTCAAAAGAATTGAGCATCGAGTAGAACGTTAATAATGAACATATTTTTTGTTATATCTCAATGAGTAGAAAGACATTATTTACTTTGACGAAGCGACCTACATTAAGTTACGAAACGTCCTTTCAGTACCACAAAGATGTAACATTTGTCACGGACCTTCTATCTCAATCTCGTCTTTTAATTCATGTACACATGTTAAGCAGTGTCACACCAGTACTTAAAGCCTTGTTCGACAAAGATCTTGATAAACAGTCTCACTCCACACATAGACGTTATACTTGCTTTTTTACGATTACGTTATCCATTACACTACTGTGATAAAATGCTTCTTTTTATCCATGTTGTACCATATTAATCATGACCATAAAAGGCGTGTATGACGTTAAGAACATACCATTATTGCTGAGAACCCCGGGTTAACATTAGGATGCGAAAAACTGCCAGCCATTGTAGTATGACTATAGAGGCATAAGGTATCTTCGCACGGTTGTTCGAAATGTTTTATTTATCTAAAAAAACGCTGTGATTCATACAGGTGGGAAATACCCAAACTATCGATAGGTATGTCGCATCTATTCTTAACGCTTGAATTCATGGTAAGATATGATGCTATATCTACATAAATCTCTTGAGTTTGCTTTAGTCGTCTCGTATGTACGTAATACTCATATTTAGTAGTTTATCAGCTAGCTTAGTAAGCAGTAACAAGAGTAATATTGAAGCAGATAATTATTTTGGAGTTTTATCAGAATGGCAACTTCGAACTGTCATCACTACACGGTGTGGTCGAAGACTAATGGTTATTTTCTACGAAGTAACGTCAATGATTTAAAGTGATGGTTATTGTAAAAATCATTAGTTTTTTTGTGTAGATATTTTGGTCGAACAAACGCTCAATTAGTGTTATATTTTGAATACAGACGAGATCGCGTGACCACAGATACGTAGAAACAAATCAGTACAAAACACTTAAGACTGAGACTACACGATCGCCCGTAATCCTAACGATACAAAAACACAAAGAAGCTCTAAACAAAATCAAGTATCACCTTGTTATGACTAAAAATATACAAATATGAAGAGATAAAGTTTAAAAACAAACCGTACTAAAGATGCATCAAAATCAATCAAAAGGAAAATTGGAACGAAACAGACAAATGATCATGAGTAAGTGACGGCTGAAAACGTTTGCAGAATTATTCGGTCACACTTACTAAATGACTAAGCAAATAAAGAATGATAGATACAATAAACACCATGTACGACAATAGTAAATTAACAAAAATGAATATAATTCACAAAAAATATGATATGAGATCATAATTCATCGTCAACCTGACCAACTGCAGGATTCCTCAGGACAACATCTAAATCGTCTCCTTCTTCTCCTTCACCATCTGATCTTGTATCCGGTTGTGATTCTGGACTGTCATCCACGTTACCTGGATTGCAAACCACTGTACATAATGTTATATCAGGCTCACAATTAGATGGGTTATCTATCAAACTATGCGATTGGTTTACAAGTGCATCATCAAAATTTGACGAACTACATCCAGGAGCACCTGTTGAGTGTACGGACTCCACGACTGATGTAGTGCACGTAACATCTGGTTTCACAGAAACACCAGTCTGATTAGGATCATCTAATTGGTTTCTGATTGGCAGATCATTTGATTCAGAATACGCGTGAGATGATTCGCTGACACCAAAAACAAAAGAGGTTTCCCCTATGGTGATTACTCTCTTGAAAGCAAACAATAAAAGCAAAAAGGCGTGTTTAATGAAAGTACAACGAAATCATTTAGTCTGAAATCTGATTTTCTTGCGATTTTGCACATAAATTGTAGGTACTTTTGAATGCTTGCCTTTACACTGATGCTGATTAGTGACCTTATTTGTTAAACATAAGGAACAATCATTATCTTCAACTTGACAAACAACGACTAGACCATTAACGTACGTAGCTACAAAATGTTGTGACTATCTAGAGAAAAAAGCTGCGGTTGGACGTAGGGTACTAGGCAAATATTATCCTTGATAATCTCGCTGTACTAATGTGGCAACTTGAAGCCATTACATAAGCGTCATGTTCTGTGTTATTTATGGCTGACTGACACAAAAGGTGAATCACATTAATACTATATTATCTAACCTAATAATAAAACGCCTTTATGGTAGTAACAATCTGAATGACATAATTTAGTAATAAACGAGTGATAATATTTCATATCATAAATGGAAAATAATAAAGGTCTTACCTGGTCATTAACTTCACATAATGAAGATAAGACCTTCTGATCATTCGCCGAAGTAATTATTCTATCTTCTTGGGCACCATGAGTCTGACAGGATTCAGTATTATATCTAAAAGGCCATATTGGATCAGTTTTAAACAAATGTGGCATTACAGGCCTATACCGCTGACATAGTTGGTCAAGTGTTTGCTTGTTGCGGCAGATTGATGGATCATTTACTTGTTGAATGGAAGATGTGTTTCGTATGGAAGGAGGTAGTGCATTTAAAGTTGTTGTACATGAGTTTTCCACGACTGTTGAAGAACATGGCTTAACTTTAGCGATTGGTATGGAGGCTGAAGAATTACATGAATAACTGGATGCTAAAGTGATATCACATGGTTGTTCACAAGGTAAGTCAGAAGAATCATTTGAAGATAAAACGCATGGATTTGATTGAAGTTCCCTTGGTTTATTAATCAAAGTGTTCATAAAAGTGCGCATTTTGTAACTTGAACGATCAGTACACTTGACCAAATCACCATGCTCTCGACTAACATCACCAAACGTATTAGTATGATCTTGTTCGTCTGATGAATCGCCCACCAAACTAACATAGTTTCTACTAGGAATATTATCTAAATTAACATTTCCAGAAATGTTATCAGCTTGCGTCCCAATAACGACATTATTAGATGAGTCCTCATTAAAAGTGATGGCCTTTGAAAAAGTACTAGCAGTAGGGTTTTCTATGACAGAAAATGTCGATATATTGGATACTGACCAGAAAACGTTATCTGAATCAAGACGGTGAATTGCATCAACAGATCTAAATAAATCATGCTTACATGATGCAGAAGAGCCATATTCAGGAGCAGAATGATGTATATCAGATACCAAAATAGGACTACTACAACTGCTTCTCTGAGCTGCTGGTAAGTGAGACCCGGTAACAGTTGGTGCATCAAAATGTGAAGCATTAAGATTAGAGGCTAACTCATTTATGTCAACGTTTGTGCAGTTGTCTAGTAGTTGGTCGGTTTGTTGCATCATACTGAATGCAGAATTGACAGTAGATTCATTATTTTGGATGATATAAGATTCCTCAGAGGAAGAAGGTATATTATCTAAAGTATGGCTAAGAGTTTCATTATGATTGAATAATGGATTCTCGATCTGTTGAGTTAAGTGAGATATGGGTGTAGTATTACAGCGTAAAATATTGTGTGGGTTGCACAACAAGGATGGAACAAGTGATTTATGATTTCTAGGGTTATGCATTCCTTGTGCAACATATGGTAAACGCATACTTTTGGGATTCCAAATATTTATATTACCAGGATATAAACTGGATGCAGTCAACGAAAGTAAATGCCTTGGTGGTCTAGAGTTTCTTAATTCTCTCCCATTAACAGGAGCAGTATTTGACAAACTATTCTGTCGTGAAGAATGACTACGAACTTGACGATTGGATCTACGATGAGTAGAAGACAAGTGAGAATTTCCAGGAGATTGAGAATTAACATTACATATATTCATACTTGCAGAAGGACAACCAAATTGTGAACCAGTACGAAAGGGTTCACTGACTGACGAAGACAGAACATTTCGAGTGGATGATGATGGACTACCCTGAAATGATGATGGATTGGCATGACCAACAGAAATCTGTGTGTTTACGCGTACATTATTAGTTCGATTTGTGTTAAAATCGTTTAGCTGCCAAGTGGATGACTGATTGATTGCTGAGTGAAAATTAACAGAAGCAGATGAAACAGCTGATGGAGATGAATGAATATTACTGGAGTTCACTACATTTCTTGATGTTAGTATTGGTGTAAGAGTATCTTGACTGACAGAACATGTTGGGAATCGGACAACACACATACCAGTGTCACATCGCTCATGATTCATTCTACTTTCTTCGTGTAGCCACCACGTATTTTCGATTGGATCGTACGACTCTACAGTATCCAGTAGACTATTACCATTATATCTATAAGACCAAAATGGATAAGGAGCATTTTATTGAAAATATGATATGCTCTTCGCTAAAGAATGCAAATTCATTATTTTAAAAAATGAATAAGATGGGAAGCATCCATTGAAACGTAAAACAACAAAAACGAGTTCAGAGAATAGTCTTCTCTTCGGTTAGTTCAATAGAGGTAAAATGTACAAAAGCACGAATATGTTATTTTTGCTAAAAAAAATTGAAAATATATTGGTTAAGATCTTAAATACTAATCAAAATATAGATTAGTAATTGTGTAAAAGAATCGTTGTAAAATGATAAGAACAAATGTTGGGATTGAAATAACATGTAATAAGAAATAAGTCAGGGGAGAACTCAACAGAGGAGAGGAGGGCAATGGGTTTGGAAAACTAGAGGTTAAGACCTTGATAGAATAAGAGGTAGAATAACTTTCTTTTGTATACAGTTTTAGTTTCTCTAGATGTACGACGAAGGTTTTAACAGCGCTAAGAACGTGGAAGGTCAGTGTTATTGACAGGATTCTACTTACTTTGTAGGCGTCTTTAGACGTTGAGTCTGTTTCGACCGAACAACCGTCTGTTCACAAGACGTTTGATTATGAAGCTTCTGATGGATTCATTATGGCCACTTTACAGATATGCCTGATTATCTGTTTGAACACTGTTGAATAGAACCCACACTATTTGTGATAATCAATGTCATCTAAATCATATTCTACAGACTTTAAATAACTGTTACCAAGTAATGAGGTTTACAATTGAAGTGAAGAACAAATAGAACATCTTATTTATCGTTATTTAAGTGACGCCCTCAAATTCCCTGGCACGGCAGAGTGAAGAGAGTCAGCACTCTCTCCCGAAATGCTCCCACATGGCCACGCATATACAATCACTACCAGGGAAGTCCTACTCGCTGACTTTTTGTGGCGGACCGGTTGTTTACGAAATTGAGAGGACAAAAACCTAATGTCTGGCGCTTTAACAGGGTTGGTGGACTCGGAGAGTTCACCTAGGGGAGTTGGAAAGCCCCGATTCCAAACCATTAGTGTACATGAGGGAACAAAAGACGTATGAACATATTGTTGGTCACCAGCTACTATGGGAGTACATCTCCTAACTTTACTTCACTGCCTTGTGGTTTAGACTTTTAGGTCAATGACTATGGGTGTGGTGCCCTAGGAAAACCATCTGTTTCAGTTTGGGCACCCGGACAGTATCCCAGCCCTCAAACAAATCGAATGATTTATGTGGTGCATATGTATTCGGTGCCCCTTTGTACCAGTATTTATGTGTTCAAATATGTAAATGACACAGAAACCTGACGGAACTCCTTGACTTGCATCACTTCTGAGGTTAATAGTCTCTAGTTGACCTATGCTCACTAGTAACCTGATTGCTTACATAATACCGTGTAGCAGGATAAAAGAATTCATTCAGAAATATTTTCAACATACTACAGTTTCTTCTGCTAATACCAAAAACAGTACTAAAAAATGGTTGCTCACCCAGCAGCAACATAAATCTTGCCAGCCAATGGGCAAGCACCAACGTAACAACGAGGGACATTCATACTTGTAACCAACGTCCATTGAGCCAACCATGTATTATAAGCTTCTACAGTATCTAAATGTGAAGGACCACGACCTTCAGCGCCACCATAACCACCGCATACATAAATAGTATCCCCCAACAAAGCACAACCGGCTCCCGACCGACGCATGTACATTGGTTTGCACACAGACCATGTACCACAATGAAGATCAAAGCTAATTAAAATAAAAAATACCGATAGTAAATCTATGATACACAAACGGTAGGCATGCGAAGTTAGTAAGATTAACACTAAAAGGGTTCGTTTAACACCAGTCTTTCATGAAATTATGAAAAAGTAAAGATATTAACAGTTATTTGTGTCTATTAATATTTTTAAATTCACAAATCAGTTATCTCAGGAGTGGGTTTTAATAAACAAGGGAAACAGAAAGACATTTATATGGCAGATCAATAAACGAATCATGAACAAGGATACAAACGTTTGTGCAGTATTAATGTTAAGAAGTAGTGGCATTCGATCAGTTTGGTAGTAATATTAATAATCATGACATGACAGATAGAAAGGCAATCTCTTTGGTTGTTTAGTGACTTTTATCTTTATTCCTGACTAACGATATACCAAATATGGAGTGAAGCGTTAATGTTTAAAGAACTTGTTATAACGCTCGGTTTTACTTCATCTAATAACGGTTGGGTTTCCACTTTTACACGTATGGGACGTTAATTTACCTTAGACAAATATCTACACTAGATTCCCTCCCAGTGTCTATTCTACAGGACTTCAACACAACTCAGATCAAGAACACGTGATTAGCCTGACCACAACGTAAATATATTTCCACACCGAAAACCCGACACAATCCAACAACAATGAACAATCAATAATAAGTGAGTAATAATAATAATAGGGGAATATATAGCTCATCTGACACCTGTCAGACTATCTACATGTCTGACTAAGCAGACAACCAGTCATCATCATTCTCGCTCACACATCAGAACTCCACGTTTAAACAGTGGGTCATTGATTTTAAGCATATTCTTATCTTTAATTTTATTCTTTATAATTAGCAATATACAAATTTTAACGAAAGAAATCTCTTGTTTCGTTATTATTCGGATAGTATATTATGGTATATTTATTTCGTTCTTATTATATATCTTTTCGGCGAGACTATAATTTATGGACGAACCAATGAGGTATAGGATAAAAGGTCTCAATTTTGGCGAGAAATTCATTCATCCATTTTGGCATTATAGCTTATGTCAGTTCGTGATGAAAACCCTACATCTAATTCCTAAACTTAACCGTCAACTGCATATCATAATTCTAATCACTCACACTGACTTATAACCGTCATTGTTGAATAACTAAAAGGTTCCATGTCCATTTACGTAAGGCTGCTTAACTAAACTTCACGGATATAAGACGTCTTATACTTATTGTATATCTCAGTATAACAATGAACATATGTTCAGGAACTTATCAGCTACGAAGTATGGGGTGAACAAATAGAAAAAATGACTATTCGGAAAAAGATATATTGGAATACATTAAAATGATCAAGTGGAGGAATTAGATTGCATAACATTCAAATAAAATAGGTGGACACAGAATAATGCACACACTGAAATACCGATTAATGAAACTGTAGTTCAGAGAGTAAACATGAAATCAAGGCTAATGATGATTAATTTCAGTTTTATAGATTGTAATGGCTGTTGTTTTACACGTATTTACACATTGTTATTTGACGACTGGAAGTTAAGTCATTCGGGTGGTATTTTTTGTACATAACCGATGATTTCCTCCTATTTGGGTCAGTAGCTTACACATTGTGTTGCACCATCTCTAGGACCCCAGCCAGGAAGTCGTGAAGGACCAACACAAGCCAGCCCTTTGCAGCTTTCTTTCATACCACGACACCATGTCATATACTGACCACCTCTCCGCTTTTCCCAACCAGTCCCACAGTCGGCAAATAATGCACGACGAGGAATTCTCTGGGAGGACATTCGTAGAACATGTCCAAGCCACAGAAGTCGGTGTTTCAAGATGGTGACACCAATTGCATTATCGTTTCTGTGACCGAACACACGATGTCGAACCTCTGCATTACTAACGTGGTGTTGCCACTGGATGTAAGCAATCCTTCGGAGACAACAATGATCGAACACAGAGAGTCGTCCAACGTCCTCGGCTCCGAGAGGCCACGTTTCACAAGCATGGAGCAAAACTGCTCTCACCGACGCGTTGTAAATCCGACCTTTTACAGCCAGACTGACATCACGAAGGCGCCAAACATGGCCCAGATTGGCACAAGCCGCTCTGGCCTTCACTATACGTGCATTGATCTCATCGCTCACGCCACCACCAGCACTTATGCAGCTACCTAGATACACGAACTTCTCGACTACTTCTATCTGCTCACTACTCAGGGTGAGTACAGGATTAGAATCCTGCCAGTCTTGTAGAAGTACTTTGCACTTCGAAGGTGCAAAGCACATACCATACCTACGGACACTGATTGCCAACTGATTAAGTGCGGATTGCATGGCTTGGGCACTATCACACAGTAAGACAATATCATCCGCATACTCAAGGTCGAGAAGTCTTTCTCCAGGCAACAGATTCACACCGCCATTACTTACATCCATCAGAGCTGTTTCCAGAATGTCGTCGATGGCAAAGTTGAGGGAAAGCACGGAATACAATGGACAGCTCGGAATCAATTAGAACATTTGAACTTCACAGATGACCTAGCTCTTCTACCTCATACACACCAGCAAATGCAGATGAAGACAACCAGTTTAGCAGAAGCCTCTACATTAGTAGGCCTCAACATACACAGGGAAAAGCAAGATCCTCAAATGCAACACAGAGAACAACAAACAAATCACACTTAATAGAAAAGCTGTGGAATCGTTCGCAGACCTGGGAAGCATCATCGATGAAGCAAGGAGGATCGGATGCAGACGTAAAGGCGAGGATTGGAAAAGCAAAGGCGTCATTCCTACAATTGAAGAACATATGGAACTCAAAACATCTGTCAACCAATGTCAAAGTGAGAATCTTCAATACCAACGTCAAGACAGTTCTCCTGAGCGGAGTTGAAACTTCGAGAACTACCACAACGGTCATCAAAACAGTACGAGTATTTATAAATAATTGCTTATGCAAGATACTTCGGATCAGTTGGCCGGACACTATCAGTAACAACTTACTATGGCAGAGAACAAACCGGAAATTAGGAAAAGATGTTGAAGGTGGATAGGACATACATTTCAGAAATCATTAAACTGTATCACGGGGCAAGCCTTAACTTGGAATTCTAAAAGGAAACGAAAAAGAGGAAGACCAAAGGAAACATTGCGTCGGTAATTTGAGGAAGACATAAAAAGAATTTACAGTAATTGAAAAGAACTAGAAAGTATTGCCCAGGACAGGGTTGAGTGGAAAGTGCTGATCAGCGGCCTATGCTCCACGAGGTGTAACAGGCCTAAGTGAGCATGTACAATAACGGTGTTGGCGTAATTGGAGTAACATGGTAGGGCAACACAATTTATTCCGCTGAAATACAAAAGATTATGCTTATATTTGAAATTCAATCAGTTTGAAAAAAGTTATTTATACGATTACGGTTGGATTCTAAAACCGTAATGCAATGAGGCATGAATGCATTGACAATCTGGCTTCAGACATTTGAAAGAACAGGTCTAGTTTATTTTTTTTAATACAAACTTAATAATTAGTTTTTTATAGTTCTGAATAAGCTTTTTTTAGATGTCAGACAACTAAGACTAGAAACTGAGAAACAATAGATAAGCCTTATTAAAATTATTTCTTCGACTACATTTCAACTTACGCTTCCATGCTGTTCAGTAGGTGAAATCCATCATAACCTCCTAAACAGTAAAGTGTATCATCTACAACAACAAGACCTGCACCTTCTCTTGCTGTAGTCATTTCTTCCAAAATTCTCCACTCGTCAATTTTTGGATGATAAACTTCAAAGGACCGAAGACGCGACTGACCATCGAAACCACCACAGACATAGATTAGACCTAAATTAAACAAGAATTCATAAGTGAAAAATAATCCTCCTCGTGAAACCCAAATCAATCAAAAGACAAGTAGGTAAAAGTGTAAAAACAGTATATCATAAAAGGGAGTAGAGACTGATAACTGTAGCATGATTCGAAAACCAATAGATAAGATTTGTTATCATTAGCAGCATCACAACAACAAGTAAGTCATTTCTACTGTTCTCCAAGGACAAAACTTCCCTGCACAAAATTGGTGATCTTTATAAAAAAACATTTACCTTTTAATAAGCTGTGCATCCGGGCAGTATCATAGCCCACACACAAATCAAGTCAATTGTCTGGCGCATATGTATTCGGTGCCGCTTTGTACCAATATTTATGTGTTAAAATAAATAAATAATAACTTCATAAAATTCATGAGGTAGACTACCAGAAGCATAAACAAGTAGATAAAATATAATCAGTTTTTATCAAGTGCAATGCAATTTATTTACTCAATATTTAGGTGTTCAAAATAACAAAAACGAGTGGTAAATGAGAGAAGGCTACAGAGAATTAGTACACGTTTAAACTGGGATTCGCATATTCGTTATGCTTCCACTATGTAGGACATAACGATCTTAGCGCACAGAATAGACGTCGACTAAGGGCTAGCACTGGGTCAACTTTTTCTTCTGCTCTTCTACCTGTCCAAGGAGTATCCAAAAGATTCTCAGAACATATGTCAAAGAAATTGATAATGAATAGCTCCTAACTATGTGGCCGTTGTTGCTACCTTGACGTGGTGGTCGGGCTTGCCTATCGTGATGAAGCAACTGAGCTATACTGGCTGGAACAACTGTTCCTCAAGGTCCTACCATGCCAGACAGGTCGGTTGAAGAGCGGTAAGACTAAAAGCAACAAAACCAAGGTCCGAAGGCGAAGTCGTACTGCTGACTGTACAGAGGTGTGACAGCAGTAAGGTGTTTCCTTCAGACAACCAGCATAACAGCGATGCTGCCTTCCCAAAAGGAGGGGAGGGGTTAGAAAAGGTCGACCCTAAAAATGCACACCTCGCCTTATCCCACGGATATCCGTCTCCGGCGGTAAGGTCTCAACAAGTACGGAGCTAACACTAAAACTACTCATAAAAAGGTCGTGTGTGACCGACCTCATGCAGCTGTCCCTTGGGCACTGCGGTCACGCTCTCAGGTCACTATGACCACCTCTAATCCAATTACCTTTTCAGGTACCTCCAGAAGAACCCTTCCACGGTGTGGGCAACCGAGAAGTGATAACTGCCCTCATACCTCTAACAGCACTCAAGACCACTGTATTCATAATCAACCTACCTCTTCAATTCCTATTATTCCTCTTACATCGACTTTCAAATCTAAACTCCCTCTTTTAGCTTCCTCAAGTGTCACCACAGCCAACGATTCTAGTGTGCAAAACACTATCCCAGGTCTACTGAAACCCCGCTCCAAACTACACATTGAAGCCTTGAACGTACGCACACTATGCCAAATCGGTCAGCAGGCTTCCTTGGCTAAAACCTTAGAATCTCGTACGATTGATGTATGCTGTGACTCCGAAACACGCATACAGGATCCTAGTGTGGTCATTCACTTGACCTCACCTCGGCAAAATGGAGAGCCAACGATATACACCCTCCGTGTATCTGGCGACCCGACGGCTAGTTCTTGTGGACTGGCAGGTGTAGGCATAGCACTAAGCACATTATTAAGACCCATTAGGATTGAACTGAGTGACGAGAAAACCAAAAGTAGGTCCCAGGAACAATTGAGGTCACACTTAGGTAGTTCTGTAAACGAGGCTAACCCAGGTGTTGCTTGGAAAGATATACAATCAGCTGTGAAAACAGCAGTCACATCTGTTAGTGATTTAAACCAATGGGTCACAAAAAACCAATGGATTCCTTCTAAGTCTATTGCAATGATAGATTCTCGTAAACTCATCCCATCAGGCTCTGAACACGATGAGGAGCGGAAACAAATCAGATCTAGGTTAAGCAAAAGTCTAAGGAACGACCGTGAGTAGTGATGTACAACGAAGCAAAAAAAATAGAAAAGATGGCGGCTGTAGATAACATAGGATAGTTCTTCAAACTAAGAAAAGAAACTGGAAATAATAAGTTAAGTGTAAGTGAAAGTCTCAGAAAAAGACGACACTTATCTGCTCTCAGCGCAGACGCCTAAAACGATGTGCGGAACAATTAAAAGAGCAGTTCAGTTGGCCTTCAGCTACTCTACAAATACCCACCATTCCCAGACAGTGTGAACAGAACATTGAAGTAGGTCCTCCAATTCTAACTTAAGTTCAAAAGGCTATAGCTAATCTAAAACGAGGAAGGGCAGTTGGTCCAGATGGATTGGCTCCAGAGGTCTTTAAAGATAGTGATCCAATTTTAACGACTAGGTTGACTAATATTTTAGCTAAAATCTGGAACTTGGACGTTATCCCATCTAACTGGTCACAATTACTCATCGTCCCAATATATAAGAAAGGGTCAAAATCATTCTGTGACAACCATAGAGGGATTATTTTGACTAACATAGCATCTAAAATACTAGCTTCAATAATCATCAGGCGCCTATCTAAGACTCGTGAACTGCAAACACTAGAGAATCAAGCTGGCTTCAGACCTAGTCGTGGATGCATAAAACACATGTTCACCATTCGTCAGGTTCTAGAACACAGGCATACTTATCGGCGCCCGAAAATGGTGGTCTTCCTTGACTTAAAAGTAGCATTTGACTCTGTAGAGCGCGAGGTTGTGTGGCAGTGTCTGTCATTGAAAGGCGTACCTCGGAAGCACATAAACCTTATGAAGGCTCTTTACTCGAACACTACTAGTCCAGTCAGAGCTTATGGCGAACTGTCATCTGATTTTACATCCTCAAGTGGTATCCGACAAGGCTGTCAAACATCTCCATTTTTGTTTCATTCCATCATAAGCCTACTGCTGGAAATAACGTTCTCGTCGGCTGAATTCTCGGGCATTGATCTCCTACCAGGAGGTTCACTTATCGACTTAGAATACGTAGATGATATAGTCAAGTTTGGTGAAGACGCTGATAAAATGCAGAGTTTTTTGATAGCACTGAGCAACAATGACAGAATGTTTGAGATGCGCTTCTCCCACTCTAAATGCAAATTGTTACTCCAGGATTGCTCTGCATCAACACCTGAACTAAGGATAGAGAGTGAAGTAGTCGAACGCGTTGACGAAATCTCAGCATGGATTCGAAAAGCTCGTTTGGCCTTTGCCAACTTACGTCATCTATGGCGAAGGCGAGACATCCGTCTATCAATTAAGGAACGGGTATACTGTGCGGCAGTTCGCTCCGTTCTACTATACGGCTGCGAAACATGGCCATTAAGAGTACAAGATACTCGTAAGTTACTAGTATTTGAACACAGATGTCTTAGAAATATTGCTGGGATCATCGGGTAAGTAATAGTGCGGTTAGACGCAGGGTATTAGGGAACGATGATAAGTCAGTTGATGAGGTTATGAACCTTCATCGACTGAGATGGTTGGGCCACGTATTGCGTATGCCTGAACACCGATTACCGCGACGCGCAATGGTAACCGGTGTTAGGGATGACTGGAAGAAAGTTAGGGGCGGCCAAACCAAAACGTGGCATCCGTGCTTGAAGACACTAACTTCTGGGCTGAGCCATGTTGGTAGATGCAGACTACCTGGTTGGGTTCCGCGTGACTATCGTAACCAATGGTTGGAGACTCTTGGTGACATGGCTCAGAATCGATCACAATGGCGTCGGTGTATTCACTCTCTGTCTTCCTTTAAACTAAGAGATTAAAATCACTTCAAATCTTTCTTTCTACGAACTAATTCTATCTTCCTGTACTATCTCCTTATACACATTCTTTCTTCTATATATTGCCACCACTGAATTAACTACTTCTATGCATCCGGTGTTCATCTTGTTGTGCTAATGCGGTATGGCAACTTGGACCGATGCATATACGTGCCTGGTCCTACGTTGCAGCTGACTGACTGACTGAACTGTGTGGCAACGGTTTGAAAAAACATATTGAACACGATTATTCAGTAGAAATTGGCATTGCTTTTAGAGCAATAAATCGATAGGATAACAACAAACTACTACGTTATGGAAAAGCAGTGGTTGTTCATGTAAACACACCTGGTACTGCCATGATGACAGATTGACTGATGGATTTCATTCCCTTCTATCATCTCTCGGTTTATTTGTTTGAAATCATCTTTATGTAATCGCGATACCACTTTCATTATTCACTTTAGTCAGGTTTTTATTTCTAATTTGTAGTTATTACAACTACCCCTGTCACTTTAAGACTAGTCAATAAAGTGTTTAACTCCCTGTGTATGTGGAGTATTTTCTTCTTCGTGAGGGAGTACAGCAACATTTCTCCCGTATCCAGCATTTGCTGTCCAGCTTATAATTTGAATAGTGATAAAACCCAAACTCAGCAATAATGTAAAAGGCATCAATAACAAACTAGCAATATAATTGCACCTAAATTATCTAGAGACAAACTATTTTCATACTCTAAAACCTACCTTTATTTGTACAAGCGGCAGATAGACCTCTTTTATAGTGCATTGGAGTAAGTAAACGCCAACCTTCTTCTCTCTGAGCAATATCAAGAGAATATACGGTATTTAGTCTTTCGTTTCCGTCAAAACCACCAATGACGTAGACACATGTACCCAATGAACATGCTGCTACATAGCGGTAACTTATCGGTAAATCCTAAAAAATTGTTTATTAAAAACATGAATGTTTTTCATACGAATTACAGGGCTTATTGAACGATGAACTTTAGATAAATTTATTTCCAACTTAATTTGAACAAAACAACGCATAGTCACCTCGCCATTTGATTTTGGATTAGCAAACAAATTAATTTTTGAAATGGAGCTACTTTGTTAAGTTTAATAATCATAAATTAGCTACTACCACCATTACTTTATCGCTTGTTAGCTTCAGGAATATAGAAACGAAGGGAGTTCAGCACTATGGAGTGCTGTAAAGGATCAATTATGTGGGCTCTTTTTTCACTGAAACATAACTCCTGCTGGTTTATGGTGTCGGATGTTTGGTATTGAGACAGGAAACCTATGAAAGGAATGATACTTTAGACCTGCGCATAGTGGTAACTTGATGCACGACTATTAGTAACCATTCAAGAATAACAGCAAAGATAAGATTTAGAGTAAGAAAATGTCCGGTTCCTTTAACCTAAGAGGGCGAGTAATTTGAATATCGAATCATTAACTTATGGTTTAGTATGCTAACCTTGAAGTAATTAGTGAGTTTCGAATAAATTTAGCTTGGTTTGTAATTTACAAATAAATATCAATAAAAGCTCAAAATTGTTAGGATTCTGGATAATCTTTTGGTAGTTAAACTAATTTTCTAAAGACTACACATTTTAGCTGTCGGCTATAACCACAAGCGAATGAGAGGAATGACATATTTTGAACTTTTCGTTCTCGAGTTCAGATATCTGTTTATGGAAGTTTTAGTTCACTGTACATCTTTTCCACTGGGGCGAACAAACGTTCGACCAAAACAGGCCTATAATTATTGCATAAAAAGATCTGTAATGCTAGTGTGGTGCGCGCTACTTATATTGATATAAGTAGTATATGACGCCAATTTAAAACATTATGTCTGGCAGCAGAAGATGGGGGAAGATCAAGAAAGGAAGAGCGGGAACACAATGAGATTTGTATGGAAACTCATGAACAATGAAATGCTGTTTGCAACAGGAACAGTCCAGTTTGATATGATGGATTGGTACTTCGCAAATTAACGATTAATTATATGGTTGTTATCTTTTAATAGCTAGTTCTGTAATTTGTTGTCAGATACATTCGATTATCCCCACCTGTGTTCTGTTCACTACACTAGTAATCCAAATCAAAAAATCAACAGATAATGATGAAACTAATTATATTGAGAAATAGATTAGGTGCCTGATAAAACACTGGATTTCAAGATTTAAAGGTTCGGAGAATGTGAAAACTTGATAACATAATAACAATAAGTAAAGTAAAAGTAAAGCCTAGTTGAACTGACTTGAAAAAAACAGTAAGAAATGCCCCCGAACGCCCTGGCACGGTCGGGAGTGGGGAGAGCCAGCTCTTCCCGAAATGCTCCCACATGGCCACACATATACAATCACTACCAGGGAAGTCCTACTCACTGACTCCTTGTGGCGAACCGGCTGCTTACGAAATTGAGAGGACGATGTCCGGCGCTTTACCCGAGTTGGTGGACTCGGAGGGTTCACCTAGGGGAGTTGGAAAACTCTAATTCCAAGCCAATGGTGCACATGGGTTCCAGTATTCTGAAGGGACAGAAGGCGTATGAACCAATCGTTGGTCACAGGCTACCGTGGGACTGCATCGCCTGACGTCGCTCCACTAACTTTAGGTCGAAGGCTCTGAGTGTGGCCCCCTAAGAAAACCACCTGCTTCGGTTTGGTCACCCGGGCAGCATCATAGCCCCCACACAAATCAAGTCAATTGTGTGGCGCATATGTATTCGGTACCCCTTTGTACCAATATTTATGTGTTCAAATAAATAATACAGTAAGAAATAAAAGATATATAAATTGATACACCTTGATAACTTACGGGTAACTCGTTCCATTCTAAGGTTCGTGGGTTAAACATTTCAACTGAATCCGAAGGGTCCTGATCAGAACCGAAACCACCAATAACAACTAAGTACTCATTGCCACCGTCACGCTGACGAAATCTCCGATCACGCATTTCATGGCGTAAATCTGGACGTAAATGAAACCGTTTAGCATCATCTACCAAATCCCGACACTCGAGAGATTGTCGAATAAGACGCTAAAATTTGGAAATTGTGAACTGATTTATGGATAAAGATTACGTTGTAACATAACTGCTATCATTATTCATAATCAACGTACAATCTAGAACGAATGTTAGTTGTAGATACAATCACATTAGCCCGAGAAGAGATGAATAAGAAAAAATACGAGAAACAAAATAATGCAGTGGCAATAATGGCGAGAAAGTTAGGCCCCAAAAGATAGAATAAAAACGTATGTATGAATGATTACTAGGAATGGAAATTCAGAGGAAGCTAATGTTTGTTTGATAGTGTTAATTATTCTAAGGGATTTCACTCAAAGTCTCCGGTCGTTGATCACATAAATGAAAATTAAGTAGTTGCATATGTCAAAATTCAAGAAATGAGGAACAAAAAGGCAGTAATCAATATCAGCCGAACAAGAGCAGAAAAAGCTAAGGCACAAGCTGAATACACAAAAGCAAACAAGCAGGTGAAGAGTAGCATCAGAGCCGACAAACGTAAATATGTGGAAGATTTAGCAATGACGGCGGAAAAGGCTGCAAGAGAAGGAAACATGAGACGACTGTATGACACAACAAAGAAGCTCGCTGAATATTATCGTAAACCAGAACGACCAGTGAAGAGCAAGGAAGGCAAGGTAATCACCAACACTGAAGAACAACGAAACAGGTGGGAACAACACTTTAAAGAACTCTTGAATCGACCAGCCCCACTGAACCCACCCAACATCGAAGCAGCACTCACGGACCTCCCAATCAATGTTGACCCACCAACCATTGAAGAAATCGGCATGGCCGTCAGATAAATCAAGAACGGGAAAACAGAGGGACCAAACAACATTCCAGAAGGGGCACTGAAAGCAGACACAGCAGTAGCTGCGAAGATACTCAACATTCTCTTGAGCAAGATTTGGGATGAAGAACAAGTGCCAACAAACTGGAAAAAGAATACCTGATCAAGATATCAAAGAAAGGAGATCTCAGCAAGTGTGATAACTACAGAGGCATCACACTATTGTCAATACCAGGAAAGGTCTTCAACAGGGTGTTGTTAAACAAAATGAAAGACTCTGTAGACGCCCAACTTCGAGATCAACAGGCTGGATTCCGTAAGGATCGATCGTGTACCGACCAAATCGAAACACTACGGATCATTGTGAAACAATCAATTGAATGGAATTCACCACTCCATACCAACCTCACTGACTACGAGAAAGCATTTGATAGCATGGACAGGACAACACGATAGAAGCTTCTTCGATACTACGAAGTGACTGAGGAGATAGTCAATGTCATACGAATTCTTATAATGGATCAAACTGCAAAATCCTGCACAGAGGAAAACTCACAGATTCGTTCAAATTGAAGACCGGTGTCAAGCAAAGTTGCTTACTATCACCCTTTCTCCTTCTCCTGGTAATCGACTGGATCACGAAGACGTCAACATCTGAAGGGAAGCACGGGATACAGTGGACGATCGTGTGTCGCACATGCAACAACAAATGCAGGAGAAGACCACCAGTGTAGCAGCAGCCTCAGATGCAGTAAATATCAACATACACAAAGGGAAAAACACGATTCTCCGATACAACACAACACACACCAATCAAATTACACTTGACGGAGAAGCTTTGGAGGATGTAAAGACCTTTACATATCTGGGAAGCATCATTGATGAGCACGGCGGATCTGATGCAGATGTGAAGGCGCGAATCGGCAAAGCAAGAGCAGCATATATGCAACTGAAGCACATCCGGAACTCAAAACAAATGTCAACCAACACCAAGATACTATCAGTAACAACCAACTGTGGGAGATAATAAACCAGATTCCAGCGGAGGAAGAAATCAGGAAGAAACGCTGGAAGTGGATAGGACACACATTGAGGAAAGCACCTAACTGCATCACGAGGCAAGCCCTCACTCGGAATCCTCAAGGCCAAACGAAAAGAGGAAGACCAAAGAACACATTACGCCGAGAAGTGGAGACACACGTGAGAAGAATGAACAACAATTGGATAGAACTGGAAAAGAAGGCCCAGAATAGAATGGGTAAGAGAATGCTGGTCGGCGGCCTATGCTCCAATGAGAGTAACAGGCGTAAGTAAGTAACATGTCAAAATAGCTCAGACCAACATTTGACGGCCTCGTGGACTGATAACACGATTTGACCGCCCCTAACTTTCTTCACTCTACCCAACATTCCATATCGTAGTGGACATTCGTAAGACACGTTCCAGTCAACCCAGTTGATAAATATTCATAGTCTTATTAACCTATTAGGGATCTCTATCTTACCCTACACCTAAACTCAGCACTGCTCAGTTGGTGGCGCTTAGAAGACAATTATTATCTAAAACTAGGAGTCGACGAATCCCCTCGACTTTTAAAAATCACACTTCAAACTGATGGTAGAAATACATCTCACATACGCCACCAATGACACAAGTTGCCAAATACTAACTCAGATTTCGGAATCAGTGCCTAAATTTTATCATAAACCAACCCAATAGGGCTAATGAGATTCCCAAGTCAAGTGAGGTGATTAACGCACCCAACTACTTCACTTCTTATGACAAGTCAAGGCAATGATGCAGGCCAGTCCTGAAGAGGGATAGAAACACATCCATAATTCTAGAAAATAGTTTTCATTAGGATAACCAGATTACACCTCAATACTAAGCTTTTTATTAACAATACAGTATAGTAGCACCGTTTTAAATACCATAATTATTGATCGTGGTATTTAATGGTAAATTCAGGACTGCATGTCTGCATTCTTAAGTAAAACATTTTACAAAAGTGACGACCAGAACAAGAGTCTATATAGACTCACGATGGGTGATAAAACCCTAAGTAACTCTAATAACAGTTCAATGATAGTAACGTAAAAATAACACGTTAATCTCAATGACAAACGCAAACTGGTTGACAGATAAGCCAGATAAACATTAAGCGTAAAATGTGAGAAAACTGTTTAGTTGTTATTGTGTAAACCTACTTACATCTTTATCCACAACATCTGTGAGGAATCGAACTGACATAACTGAAAGACGAATGTTTCGAAGCAAAGAAGGAAGATTCGCGACCCTTTCAATGGGTTGATGATATACCCAGCGCATAACAGCGTTATATACAGATTCTTCATTGTCAATCTGAAAAAAATTGCATTGATATTCATGAGCCAGTACTTTTACAAACGGAAAAGTGGGAAGACAAATATTGGTAGGGATCCCAAACAAGTTAACCAAATACTTTAGTACTACAGTTTCCCTCTCGAAATATCAAATTATTTTTTAAACACAGCAAAAACGATGATTGGCGCAGAATAATATGAATTCATTTTACTTCGTTTGGTTCTCATCAGCTGCTTACAACCAATAATACTTAAGATCAACGTTGTCACAGATATTGACATACTTATAAATGCGGGGGTGATTGGAGATGGATATGTTTATCATGATGCAGCGATGACTTCGATTGAGTTAATGTCATAAAAGTTTTGTTTCGGATAAATAAAGTTTAGGAGGGAAAGTTCCAGAACATTGAAATGGTTATCAGAACTTCTGGAGTTAACAAACATTAGATGATTGTGTAATGAAGCAACTGAAAAAAGATTAATGGTAATAATGCATCGGCAGTACATATTCTTTCTGTTCTATGAAATAGCATTTTAACAAGTGCCATTTTTGTAACTAATTGGACAGTGTATTATTCAAGGTATGTTGATGATACCTCCATCGTATGCAATAATCAACATGTAACAAATCCGCTAAAACTTTTCAACGAAGCCCATCCAAACATCCAGTTTATTATGGAACATGAAAATGAAAACAAGTCCCATTTTCTCAATATCTCAATGGAACGAAGGAAGGATGGAACAGTTCAACGTTTAGTTTATAGCTTTTATCCAAACAGTTACAAAAAGACACTTGTTAAAATGCTATTTCATAGAACAGAAAGAATATGTACTGCCGATGCATTATTACCATTAATCTTTTTTCAGTTGCTTCATTACACAATCATCTAATGTTTGTTAACTCCAGAAGTTCTGATAACCATTTCAATGTTCTGGAACTTTCCCTCCTAAACTTTATTTATCCGAAACAAAACTTTTATGACATTAACTCAATCGAAGTCATCGCTGCATCATGATAAACATATCCATCTCCAATCACCCCCGCATTTATAAGTATGTCAATATCTGTGACAACGTTGATCTTAAGTATTATTGATTGTAAGCAGCTGATGAGAACCAAACGAAGTAAAATGAATTCATATTATTCTGCGCCAATCTACGTTCTTGCTCTCTTTAAGACAATAAAAGGAACTATGTGTACGAAATATCAAATTAGTGCTTATATTACTGGAAAACTATCCTGATACGAAATAAGATTATAAAACGTCATCAAAAATAGCTGCCAATGCTGCACTAAAATAAACTAAATGACTTTGTAAAATACAATTATTTTCCAAGTATCTAACTATTAGTGTAGTGAACAAAACACACGTGGGGACAATCGAATATATTTAACAAAAAATTACAGAACTAGTTAGTAAAATCTAACAACCACATAGTAAATGCTCAATTTGCAAAATGTCCATCACTTGTCTCAAAAGACTGAAACTTCCTTTGTAAATGCATTTTCATACAAATCGCGTTCTGTCTTCATTCTTTACTGTTCAATCTTCTCGTCTTTCTGCTGCCAGACATTCTGTTCAGCACACGTCATATACTACTTATGTCTACATAAGTAGCACACACCACATTAGTAGTGACACATACACACAATACTGATAATATATTAATGATGACATTTAAGAACAGTAATAAGTGAAAACGAGTCAAAATGTAAGTTCCGTGAAAATCAAGTCAAAATTGTTAGTTCTAGAAAATAATGCTATTTTCGCACGCTTATCTTAAAAGATCGAGCTAAAGTACATAGCCTCCATATATGTGCAGACCAATACTTATACAATCATATTTGAGATTAAGGAAATTGGTCCAAACACATGATTAGTTAAGAGATAAAAACAGTAAATAATGACGATGGTAACCTATCTAACGAGGAAATGTTTAACTTAGTACATTAAAAGTCTAGACACGTCAAACAGACTTCGCGATAATATGCGAAGATGGTAATTTAAAATGAACGAGATCTCAAATCCCCCAATTAACAAGATTAAAATTAAGTATTCAAAGTTCATCTAATTTGCTTGATTTCTTACGTGTAAATCTTCTCTTGTAATAAGATCAAGCAATTCCTCAGGTGTGAGGCATACGAATTCCTCAGAGTCAACAACTGACTCAAAATTACAGGCTGCAAAGTTTCGTGTAAACTTTTCTAATTCTACACAGTTATGCAGTTCAGCAAATCGTCTGATGCCAAGAACATTCGTGGAATCTACTTCCGTCAAGAGAAAATTAGAGCAAGCAACTTTAACACCCTCCATCTGAACAAGACTTGCTGCTGGAAGAAGATCTTGGACATTAGCCATGCTTACACGAACTTGACCAGTGTACACATAATCTAGAAGGGTATCCATTATTTCAGGAGTAATGGACTTGAGTTCAACTTCCAACTGAGCTGATTCAGCCATCTGATAAGAAATAAAATATAATGGATACATATATATAAGTTAATCAAAGGGCTACATGAATAATACAATACTCTGTCCAAAAACCATGACAATAATTCGAAACTAGATTCAGTACCAGGAATATGTCAGAAACTTGATGAAGCGATTAGGGATGGAGTTTAACATTCTTTACCTCATCAAACCTACTGACAAATCAAATACGAAAGACTAGTAAGTACGTTATTTAGGGACCACGATATAGATAGTCCCTGTGGTAACCGCTTTATTTTAACTTGTGTTGATGACAACTGACTGAACTTATGTTTGGTTGGTTTCTTTTCTCTTTCATTGGATTAAGCTATTAGATTACACCTTGAATATGCTACTGGAGCTAGGTCGAACTAAGGCGAAAGGATAGAACGTCTAGAACGATTAGGTAAAATATTTAGACAGAACTTGAGACTTCTGCATGGGATTGTTACATAGGAATAGGCGCTGACATAGCAAACCAATTGGAAAGCACAGAATTTGATAATTGAAGTGAAGGCACGTAATGCAAACAATTGGTTTGAAACAGTAACCTTGTACATGTTCGCATATTCCACTTTGAATCACACCTTTTTTGTGGATTGGTTAGGGATAGTAATCCACTGCATAAGCCGAAGAAGATGATGCTTGATTTAATTTTGCAACCTGATGTTTGAAAGTCGAGTACTTTAGCAAGCAAGCCACTTCACTACTTATGACAAACACCTACTGGAACTCAACAAATGAAATGGTCACGTGGTAAACAAAACGAAACAACCACAATAATAAGTTAAAGGGAAAGATCACAACTATTATTTGCTACATAACATTCCGGGTGGATGCAACTAATCCATAGATATCCAAACATTTCTATTGTGTGTGAAAAGCGCAAGCCAGAACTGTAAAATAATTATTAAGGATAACTTTTAAAACAACGATAATCCCATAATACACAAAAAGTTAATTTTTTCTGTTTACTTAGTGTCTTTCTTAGACTCATCGAACGTACCCACCTCTTTAATATTATTAAATGCCATCGACACATAAGAAGTATGCAACAGTGCTAAAATTCAAGATTAAGAGGAGGATAAAGAATGAACTATATATATATATATATATATATATATATATATATATATATATATATACATATATACATATCATTTCTCTTTTAAAAACGAAATATCCAAAACACTTCGCAACTCCAGTAAATTTTGCCAATAATTAAACAAATATGTAAAACGAACAGTTCATTGAAATAAACCAAATACGTTCAGAAATAAGCTTACCCCACTTGAAAACATGGCGTCAAAATAGTCGCTGGAAGCTGCCAAAACTACCCGGTGAGCTAAAAATTCTCTCCCCTCTGCCTTGATAACTACATCACAGAGCTGCCCCTCCTTACGAAATGCATTCATCTTTTTGAATGCCGTTACTGAGTAGAAGTCCGTACCTTGAGAAAAAGTAATAAAAGAAAAAAATTCTAGATGAACGAGGAAACGGTAGACGTAAGATATTAAATACAATTTAGCCCCATGAACTAACGTTCATTACCCAGTGTATCACATTTAATTATTTCAGGAATGAAAACAGATGGTAATACGAATTATAAAATACGGCAAAACGGAGAGCCGACGAGATACACCCTCCGTGTATCTGGCGACCCGACGGCTAGTTCTCATGGACTGGCAGGTGTAGGCATAGCACTAAGCACATTATTAAGACCCATTAGGATTGAACTGAGTGACGAGAAAACCAAAAGTAGGTCCCAGGAACAATTGAGGTCACACTTAGGTAGTTCTGTAAACGAGGCTAACCCAGGTGTTGCTTGGAAAGATATACAATCAGCTGTGAAAACAGCAGTCACATCTGTTAGTGATTTAAACCAATGGGTCACAAAAAACCAATGGATTCCTTCTAAGTCTATTGCAATGATAGATTCTCGTAAACTCATCCCATCAGGCTCTGAACACGATGAGGAGCGGAAACAAATCAGATCTAGGTTAAGCAAAAGTCTAAGGAACGACCGTGAGTAGTGATGTACCACGAAACAAAAAAAATAGAAAAGATGGCGGCTGTAGATAACATAGGATAGTTCTTCAAACTAAGAAAAGAAACTGGAAATAATAAGTTAAGTGTAAGTGAAAGTCTCAGAAAAAGACGACACTCTCATCTGCTCCCAGTCCAGACGTTTAGAACGATGGGCGGAACACTTAAAGGAGCAGTTTAGCTGGCCTTCAGCTACTCTACAAATACCCACCATTCCCAGACAGTGTGAACAGAACATTGAAGTAGGTCCTCCAATTCTAACTTAAGTTCAAAAGGCTATAGCTAATCTAAAACGAGGAAGGGCAGTTGGTCCAGATGGATTGGCTCCAGAGGTCTTTAAAGATAGTGATCCAATTTTAACGACTAGGTTGACTAATATTTTAGCTAAAATCTGGAACTTGGACGTTATCCCATCTAACTGGTCACAATTACTCATCGTCCCAATATATAAGAAAGGGTCAAAATCATTCTGTGACAACCATAGAGGGATTATTTTGACTAACATAGCATCTAAAATACTAGCTTCAATAATCATCAGGCGCCTATCTAAGACTCGTGAACTGCAAACACTAGAGAATCAAGCTGGCTTCAGACCTAGTCGTGGATGCATAAAACACATGTTCACCATTCGTCAGGTTCTAGAACACAGGCATACTTATCGGCACCCGAAAATGGTGGTCTTCCTTGACTTAAAAGTAGCATTTGACTCTGTAGAGCGCGAGGTTGTGTGGCAGTGTCTGTCATTGAAAGGCGTACCTCGGAAGCACATAAACCTTATGAAGGCTCTTTACTCGAACACTACTAGTCCAGTCAGAGCTTATGGCGAACTGTCATCTGATTTTACATCCTCAAGTGGTATCCGACAAGGCTGTCAAACATCTCCATTTTTGTTTCATTCCATCATAAGCCTACTGCTGGAAATAACGTTCTCGTCGGCTGAATTCTCGAACATTGATCTCCTACCAGGAGGTCCACTTATTGACTTAGAATACGCAGATGACATAGTCCTGTTTGGTGAAGACGCTGATGAAATGCAGAGTTTTTTGATAGCACTGAGCAGCAATGACAGAATGTTTGAGATGCGCTTCTCCCACTCTAAATGCAAATTGTTACTCCAGGATTGGTCTGCATCAACACCTGAACTAAGGATAGAGAGTGAAGTAGTCGAACGCGTTGACGAAATCTCAGCATGGATTCGAAAAGCTCGTTTGGCCTTTGCCAACTGACGTCATCTATGGCGAAGGCGAGACATCCGTCTATTAATTAAGGAACGGGTATACTGTGTGGCAGTCCGCTCCGTTCTACTATACGGCTACGAAACATGGCCATTAAGAGTACAAGATACTCGTAAGTTATTTATTTATTTATTTTAGCACATAGGTATAGGTACAGGGAGGCATACATATGCGCCACACGAATCTCAATTGATTTGTGTGAGGGCTGTGATACTGCCCGGGTGCCCAAATCGAAGCAGGTGTTCACACCCCGAGCCTTCGACCTGAACGTCTGACCCACAAGGCAGCGGAGCATCGTAAGGAGATGCAGTCCCATGGTAGCCGGTGACCAACGATTGGTTCATACGCCATTTGTCCTTTCAGGTTACTGGAGCCCATGTGCACCATTGGTTTGGGGTCCGGTTAAAGCGCCGGACATTCGCTTTTCGTCCTCTCATTTTTGTAAACAACACCCAAGCCACGAGAAGGCAGTGAGTAGGACTTCCCTGGCAGAGGCTATATACGCATGGCCATGTGAGAGCATTTTGAGAAGGATAGCGGACTCTCCCCACTCTCGGCCGTACCAGGGCATTTGGGGGCACTCGTAAGTTACTAGTATTTGAACACAGATGTCTTAGAAATATTGCTGGGATCATCGGGTAAGTAATAGTGCGGTTAGACGCAGGGTATTAGGGAACGATGATAAGTCAGTTGATGAGGTTATGAATCTTCATCGACTGAGATGGTTCTGCCACGTGTTAAATGTACGAGAACACCGATTACTACGACGCACAATACCGACTAGTGTTGGGGATGGTTGAAAGAAATTTAAGGGCGGCCAAACCAAAACGTGGCATCAGTGCTTGAAGTCACTAACTTCTGGTCTGAGTCATGTTGTTAGATGCAGACTACCTGGTTGGGGTCCGCGTGACTATCGTAACCAATGGTTGGAGACTCTTGGTGACATGGCTCAGAATCGATCACAATGGCGTAGGTGTATACACTCTCTGTCTTCCTTTAATCTAAGAGATTAAAATCGCTTCACATCTTTCTTTCTAGGAACTAATTCTTTCTTCCTGTACTATCTCCTTATACACAATCTTTCTTCTATATATTACCACAACTGAATTAACTACTTCTATGAATCCGGTGTTCATCTTGTGTTAATGAGGTATGGCAACTTGGTCCGATGCATATATGTGCCTGGTCCTACGTTGCCGCTGACTGACTGACTGAGTATTCTCTCACTCTAACTCTTAATTCTAGATTTCAAAGCAATTTTGTGAACAAAGGGGTAGAAAAGTATCATCTTATTATAGCTGATGTCAGTTGGTGATAAAAACCCAAAAGTTGATTCGTTATCCTAATGCATCATTGTTATCTAAATCCTATTAACAAACCCTAACCTTTCTCCATTATAGCTCATTTCGGTCTGTGACTAAAACTTTATAGGTTTATGGTTCCAACTTACAACACTATCCCCGTTTTAAATTTGTAAACTCGACCTTTGTCCTTTACGCTGATCAATAAGTTAACATATAGAGTTATTTATCATATCAAAACCACTATTTCACAGTAACATTGGCTTTTATTGTTAATTGACATAAAACTAGGCGGTATCACCTGTTTGACTGATAATTCGGTATAAAGTGCTTCTATTAAATGCTTATAGAAAGATTATATCAAAAGAGAATGAGGGTGAAAGATTACGTAAAATATCGAATATTTATAGCTAGTTAGCTAGACATATGAAAAAAGAGTATTTGAATATAAACTTCGTTAATCTGTGTGACATAAAGCTCATTCACGAAAAGTAAGGTGAGGATATAATTTATGGAGGACCTCTGAACGACTCTTAAGAGACCTTGAGGATGTCCACCGAAAAACAACGGCTAGATGACGTTTATAAACCAGCGTAAGGAGTCAGGATAAATATTTATAGTTGATGGTCAAGGTTATGAGTCAGATATAGGGTTTCCACCAAGAACTGACATCAGTTATAATGCCAAAACTCTATTTAACCAGATGGATTAGTGAGTTTTGCGCCAAAATCTGTTATCGTAAATCTGATTGGTTTGTCCATAAATAATAGTCTCGCTGTGTTTCGCCCTACAAAGCAGACATTGAGTTTCGGGGATCAACTCAAGACGGGCTAACTAGTCATGGGTGCATTAAAGCTTCAGTGAGAATATTTACTCTCACTGACAGGATGGACCCTTAATCTACAACAGCTACCTAATAAGGTTATGATAGTCCTATAGTTTATTTGATCGAAAACTATACTATTTGAACCTATGTAGTATATATAGCTTACACATGCAACACCAAAACTACATATGTAAAAATAAGCAACTCCTAGGTTAAACACTACCACTATTTATTGGATGATATCGAGCGGAAAGTGAAAAAGTTTGTAATCATTTACAAGGGAAGCTTGTCAAGAAAGGATGTGAGGGTGTGACACTTCAACTATAATTAAATAGACATACCTTCGTCCATAAGAGTCCGCCCATCGGATTTCATGCCTTGTTTTTTTGGTAGGGTACCCATGAAATATGGTGTTCCAAAACGTCGGAAAACAACGGGTGATGTGTGGATGATTTTAGAAATAGCCTGAGTGCGGAAATGCCCAGAGTAATAAACTGCGAAACTCTCTAGGGCATTTACCAAAAAATTAATGAAAACAAATTTAAGATCCACTTGTCATTTTTTAAAAAGACTCGCTGATTAGCGATGCTGAAAACATGTAGCGGAAACGTCAAGCTTACCGCCTATGAGATTTAACCAAGCAAAGTCCAATATTTTTCACGCGGAATTTTTCTTGAAATTAGAGTTAAAAATAACTTGGGGAACAACTAAATATAGATAATATATAATGAAGGTGTTTATGATGTAAATTAAGTATTTGAGATATGGTTACTTCTACCCGATATTCGAATATATAGCTATATATAAATCATCAAAATCAATAGCTCTGCATTTAATGTAGATCACATAAGTAACATTGAACTCGCTTAACTGATAGCGCCCAGTCACGCTGCATCTCACAACTAAAGATGCTACAAGTATTTGGAGCATGACAACACCTTATCAAGTAGCATCAATAATTGAAACGTCCTAACACAGTGTAATCAGAAGTCAGGAGCGAATATATATTTCATAGGATATCGATATGACGGTAAGTGACTGATATAAGCTGTATAGAGGTCGTAAGAGGGGTAGAGCACAGCTTGACTGAGCGCATTCAGTTAGGTGAATCCATTAAATCATATACGGTCAGCATCAAATGTCGAAGACTTATAGAGCTATTGGTTTGGGGGATTTATTTACCGCTACACCTGCTTGTAAACTGTGGGTCTGTTTTTTTCAGGATTTTATATATCATTTCTCTACTTCAATTTTCATATATTGTGATATTTTTTATATTTTTGCATATTTATCTTCCCCTCGTTCATTTCTGGTATATCTGAAACTCAGATTCTTGATATACCGCGTATATCTTGAGCACTTGAACTTTAGAACCCTCTATGTAGCAAACGAGAAGATAGAAGACAAATGAAAGAAATGCTATTCTAAACAGTAACAAGTACGGCATAAAATCCTCAGCTATACATAGTTTGTAGTAAAAAAGAAATGATCATTATAGTCATTCAATATGCATACAGTGGACTTCAGCATTTGTCCAGTAGGGAAGCTACACGTAGGTATTCTATGATGTTCTTCCGAAGGTGACTGGATGGAATATCTTCGGCACTGAGTTTCTTAGAGCTTCTTTGAGTTCATCCGCGGGTCGTCCTCGTAATTCCTTTACTTTATATTTTTCATTACCAAATTACTTAAAAACAAGACTCTTACACCACCTTTATTGCAGCTATTGCCATTCTGGTCTGACAACATCAAAGCCTGGTTCTGCTGCGCAGAGGCTAACTTACACGAACACGACGTAACCTATCCAAGCGCGAAATTTTTCGAAGTAGTGAAGGCACTACCGCACGGATTCAATTGGTACGTCACACCTAGTATGTTCACTGTTGATGCTTCTGAAAGTTATGAAACTCCAAAAAGGTCTATTTTTAAGCGCGGAGATCTAATCTCTAGACGAAGTTTAGATCGACTACTCAATAACGTCGATCTACAACATGGCTCAGTAACAGATATGTTGCTACAAGTGAGAAATGTCATGGGCCAACGGACTTTCGACCTATTCAGACAACTTTTCTCGTCCGAACTTCCTCAGGTAGTGCTTGTCTCGTTTAAGAAGACGCTGTAGACGAGCTGGCTGCATCTGTCAACCGAATTCTGGAGATCTGTTCTCTCAATGAAAGATTCGAACAACACGAAATGACGTTACAGAATCCTGTCATAATCTGACACGTTACCTTAATATTCGTTTTCACCGTAGACGATCCCAAACTCCTCGAATGGAGACTTCACGAAAACGACCTTTCTCTCGTGATCAAGAGACAAATGACTCTGATTGCTTCTGGTATCATAATGAGGTCGGAAAATCTTCTCAAAATTGTTGTAAAACCTGTGATTTTTCGAGCTCCAAACTGAATGACGGACATTTCGGGAAACTTCCTGGCAAACTTAGTCGGCTGTCTGTTATGCGCCACTTATGTGATAACGGAAGTTCGTTACCTCGTCGACACCGACGCAGAAGTTAAAGTTCTTCTTGCAAATTCTAACGACCGACTGCTCGAGGCAGTTTTCAACTTACAAGCGGCAAATAGGAAAGCGATCACCACGTATGGTAAGCGATACATTTATCTTAACGTGGGTTTACGCAAACCCACTCACTGAATCTTCGTTTTGGCATATGTTTCTATGCCAATAATTGGTACAGACCTGATACAACATCATGTTTTACTCACTAACATGCACAAAAATAGGTTAGTAGATGGAGGCACTAATTTATCTGTTTATGTAACTTTTTCCGGTTGTAGATTATCATCAGTTATAGAAAAACACACGACCAATACATGCTACCGACAAATACTCGATAAGCACCCTGAGATGTTCCAGGCGCAATCGAAAGCGCTATGTGTAATCACTAATGTGACACACCACATCACAACTACAGAATGATCTGTATTCTCGAAAGCGCGCCTACTAGCTCCCAAAAACCTGAGGTTGGCTAAAAACGAATTCGATTATACATAAGAATTAGGAATCATTCGGCCATCAAACAGCCCATGGGCATCTGCCTCGCGCATGGTCCGTAAAAAAGGACAGCAACGACTGGCGTTCAACCGTTGACTATCGGCGACTAAATGCATAAACCATTCCTGATCGTTACCTGTTGTACCATATTCACGAGTTGTCAGCTACATTGAATGGTACAATTATTTTCTTGAAAATCGACTTGGTTAAAGTATATAACCGAATTCTTATGGCTGCTGACAACATTCTTAAAACAGCTATCATCATACCTTTTGGTCTCCACGAATTTTCGCGTATGCCTTTCTGCTTAAGAAATGCCGCTCAGACCTTCCAAAGGTTCATATATGACATTTTTCGTGGTCTCAACTTCGTACATGTGTATAGTGATGACTGTTTGATAGCACGTTCATTACCAGCACCTAGACTTTGTCTTCGAACGACTGAAGAACACAGCATTACTGCAAGCATTCACAACTGTCGAATCGGCACCGACTTTCTAGATTTTTTCGTTCACACTTTGAAAAGCAAAGTGGCGGCCATTCTGGATTACCCAGAATCGAACACCATCAAGCAATTACACACGTTTGATGGTCTTGTAAGTTTTTATAGGCGGTTAATACCGAAATGCGCGTCCCTTATGAAACCCCTCACCGACCAACTTCGTGGAAATGCAAAATCTATCAATCTGGATGAAATCGCGCGAAAAGCATTCTCCACAGTTAAGGAACTTATCATTCAAGCAACAATGCTTACTCATCAGGACACTCAAGCACCCATTTGTATCGCAGTAGACGCATCCGACTTAGCGATCGGAGGAGTCTTACAACAATGGGCTAACCACTCCTGGCAATTTTGGCATTTTTCTCTAGACGGTAGCTAGACACTGAATCGAGGTTCAGCGCATTCAGTAGGGAACTCCTAGCTATGTATTGTGCTGTACGGCATTTTCAACACTCTATCAAAGGCCGAAAGTTCACCCTTTTCACTGACTATAAAGCACTTAATTTCTCCTTAAGCTCTTCTTCAGACAAGTACTCACCTCGTGAGTCTCGACGACTGGGCTACATTTCACAGTTTACTTCAGACATTCAACACATTTCTGGAGAAAACAATGTAGTTGCAGACGCCTTGTCTCGCATAACTTTCCCAAACAGTTTCCAAGGAATCTGCCTTATTAAACCCACCCAGCTTCAAAAAGAAGACATTGATCTTCAGCACGAGTTATCGTCAACAACCCTAAAACCCTTAATTAAACAGATTGGAACATGCAATAAAACCTTATTATGAGACACATCTACAAGTAGGGATCGTCCAATCGTACCGAAACATTATCGACGCAACGTCTTCGATACGTTGCACAAACTTTCTCATCCAGGTGTCCATGCAACCATCAAGCTTATAGCAGAACGGTTTTGCTGGCCTGGTATGAATAAAGACGTGAGGGAGTGGACATGCTCCTATGTAAGCTGCCAGAAATCTAAGGTTATTAGACACAACAAATGTCCCTTAGGCTCATTTAAAACTCCCAATGCTCGTTTCGACTATGTTCGTTTGGATTTGGTAGGACCTTACGTGAATGGACAGGTAGCCTAACTATATAAGGTTTGCCGAGTTGGTAAGCCCTATCTTTTAAACGTTTTTTAACATCAAGACAGTCCACAAGTGGAATGGTCAGCCTCAGCTTGCCTTTGTGCTTGATCCTGGCGTCATGTGGCCTATCCGGGTGCATACAGATTCCATTTGACAACCGATTTCTGTTGGCACTAAATGTTTCCAGAGTTGCAGCCGCCACATGTGAGGACGGGAAAGGTATCCTCATTAGTCGGAGTCTAGAATCACCGTACTTCTTGGCTAGTCTCGTCACATGTTGAGTCAGTATTTTTTTGAGCCTCAAATACTGTTTGATGAATTTCCATTCCCGAATGTCAGAGTTTGCTTGACCAGGGTCCGTGTTTTCCAGTACATCTTGCACAATTATATTTCTTCCGCGGAAAAACTCACGAGATTCTTAAGGGATGTTTCGGATGAGATTGCGCTCAGAATGCGGTATGTCGGGCAGTATTCTTACGTTCCCATCGGATTTCAGTAAATGACTAGCTAGCAGGACATCCTCTACTTCGGTAGCATTCTTGAGTGTTACACGGAGTAGCCTCGGGGGATTTTGATGCTTAGATCCTTTCCGCGAGTAAGCCTTGTGACCGTCAAAGGCTCTATTCTACGAAGTTCGAGCTTTTTGTTCAATTCACCATAGAGTATCCTGTCATTTTTGTCCTGCAAAGTGAAAGGAAGGTCAGGGTTGTCTTTGATGTCCATGATTATGAGAGAGTCATCAAGAACCGTTATTGTTTTCCCAGGTTTTCCGGTGCGTTCGGGTTAAACACCTTGTT